ATGAGTGAGGTGATTCTGTGAAACTGAAAATAGCACTGTTCATTTTCGCACAGGCCGTGGGGGTGTGCTTTTGTTTGGTTTGGGTATTTCGGTAAAATTTTTGTTTTATTTTTACTTTCACTGGGCATTAAAAAAAATTAGAGGCCAATCCGTCCAGTACAAATGATTTTAAACTCCCTTTGCCCAAATTCGATGCTTGTATACAAATGAAGAACCAAGTCGTCTGCGAGAAATTGCAAAAGCAGCCCATGAGAATATAAAGGTTTGTTGTTTGCAGACTGATGATGTCATCACTTAGGGATGCAAATGTCACCCCCATCAGAAGGCAAAGAAGAAAGACCTTTTACATTACTGCCTCATTCTGGAAAATTCTTTGTGATTGTTCATGGCTCTTTCATCCATATGGCTGCTTCCTCACTGCTGTATAATGAGGAGAGAGCAAGAGAAATTCCCTGATGCAGTGAAATACATTTTTAAAAAAGCAAAACATACAAAGGGATTTGGTCTAAAGCATTTACTGTTGGATATTTCAAACCTGATGTAGCAAAGCTATAATTAGAAAATTGGTCTGCTTTACATTAGAAGAGTGGAAATTGCTTCCATAGTTGTTGTTTTTTCCCCAGATGTGTACCAGTCTGTTAATTACTGTCTCAGATTGTAGGAGGATATTAACACAACACACTAGATGAGCAGAGATTACACTCAAATACTGAGTTGGACCTGTTGTTCCATATAGCTTTAGTAAAGATGAAAAAAGAAGGTCTGTTTGCTAATTTTATAGTAACCTTTCTAATTAGTGGTAGCCTGGGTGGTTTGGTAAAAAGCTATGAACTTGATAGCTGTCAGGTAAATGGTCGTAGAGAGGCATCATGTCAAAGGGCTGTGTCATAAAGGTTTCTGTTCAATACTTTGTGGCCACAGCATAAAGCTGTAGCACTAACTAACATGCTTCCTAGCTACCTGAACAGAGACCATCCATATTTTAAACAGATAAAGTAGGGAAATATCACCCCCACCCACCCGCCCGCCCTCCTCCCC